CCCCCCCCCCCCCCCCCCGCAAAAGCAGCTGGAGAGAAAGTAGAAAAGTGGAAACAGTCTCAGGGACTGAACTAAAAAGGGAAAAAGGAGAAAGGAGAGAGTTTAAATTCCATTAAGACTATAAACAGGGGGAGTGCAGAGTCTGAAACTCCGCAGCACAATACCTGGCGGTGCTCTGGTGGGAAGGGCGAATCCCAGCAGCAGAGTGCAGTCCGGGGTCTTCAGGCCAAATGGGGAGAGGCGGTTCCCCTGCTGGGAGGACACCTGGTAGAGGCTGTGTGGGTCCCCTAAAGGCAAGGCCCCAGTGGACCCAGGAGAACAACCACATTCACTGGTGCTGGAACAAAGTCGTTAAGGGTGAAACCTGGTGCCAGATATGTGTTGAGATTTTCCATAATCCCTGAAACACTGCTGCTACACTATCTCGCAAACTTTTTCTGGACCCGGCTGGCACCCGGTTGCAGTCTCTGGGCACCGGTAGCAGCACGGTCCTGCAAACATTCCTGAGTGCGGCAGGCACCCGGCCATTGCTCCATGAGACCCTCCTGCAGAGGGGCAGAATGGGTCAAAGTCGCAGTCCCTCAGAAGTAAGGGGCCGGGAAAAATAGCCGCATCTGAGACAAAACTCGGGAAAGAGGTGCTGCCTGGGGCTTGGTCACAGACCGTGTAAAAGCGGGAAGTGGATGGAAGCCGAAGACAAAGGACGGGTGCATGATTGCTGATCCAGGGGACAAAGTTCCCATACTAGACAACGGGTAGCTGGGTAACACCATTGTCTTACTCCCGCACATGCGCGTATGCACACACAAGCACCACAACCATCCACCCCAGTAAGCTAAGCACCGCCATCTAGTGGAGAACGGAGCCATTACACTAGCCCAACTAGGCCAACCTTACTCTTCAGGAACACAAGTCTCTCTGCCTGCTTAGTTTATGGACTATAAAGTGCTTCATAGTTTTACTCCCAGGGGAAAATGAAGTAATTTCAGTTGTATTTCAGTCTGTTGGCTGGTCCGTCTATTCACTTGTCTTTTTTTTTTTCTTTTTTATCTTTTTCATTTTGTTTCTTTTTGTGAATGCAGAAAGAGAAAAAATTCATTTTTATTTTCAATTTTTATTAAAAATATTTTTCTTTAATTTTTTTCTACTATATTTTTTACTGTTGTGAAAACTTTTTCAAATTCTATTTTACTTCCATCATTTCATTTTAGTCTACTTCAGTGTATTCATTTTTTCAAATTATGAAATGATTTCCTTTTTTTTTTTCTTGCTCCTTTTTTCTCTAATCTATCAAGCCCCTTTCAACACCCAGACCAAAACACACCTAGGATCTAGCATCATTTATTCGATTTTGTGTGTGTGTGTGTGTGTCTGTGTGTTTGTTTCTAATTTATTAATTTATAATTTTTTTAATTTTAATATTTTTTAATTTTAATTTTTTTTTACTGCATTAATTCCTTTTCTTTCTTCAAAATGACAAAATGAAGGAATTCACCCCAAATAGAAGAGTAGGAAGAAACGACATCCAGGGATTTAACCAACACAGATACTAGAAAGATGTCTGAAGCAGAATTTAGAATCACAATAATAAGAATACTAGCTGAAGTCGAAAATAGATTAGAATCCATTTCTGTGGAGATAAAAGTAGTAAAAGCTAGTCAAGATGAAATAAAAAATGCTGTGACTGAGCTGCAATTTCAAATGGAGGTCACGGAGGCAAGGATGGATGAGGCAGAACACAGAATCAGTGATACAGAGGACAAACTTGTGGAGAATAATGAAGCAGAAAAAAAGAGGGAGATTAAGGCAAAAGAGCACTATTTAAGAATTAGAGAAATCAATGACTCATTAACAAGGAACAACATCAGGGGCGTCTGGGTGGCTCAGTCGGTTAAGCATCCGACTTCAGCTCAGGTCACGATCTCACGGTCCGTGAGTCCGTGAGTTCGAGCCCCGCGTCGGGCTCTGGGTTGATGGCTCAGAGCCTGGAGCCTCCTTCCGATTCTGTGTCTCCCTCTCTCTCTGCCCCTCCCCGTTCATGCTGTGTCTCTCTCTGTCTCAAAAATAAATAAACGTTAAAAAAATTTTTTTTTAAAAAAAGGAACATCAGAACCATAGGAGTCCCAGAAGAGGAAGAGAGAGAAATAGGGGTAGTAGTGTTATGTGAGCAAATCGTAGAAGAAAACTTTCCTAACCCAGGGAAAGACACAGACATCAAATTCCAGGAAGCACAGAGGACTCCCATTAGATTCAACAAAAACCAACCACCAACAAAGCATGTCATAGTCAAATTCACAAAATACCGAGGCAAGTAGAGAATCATGAAAGCAGCAAGGGAAAAAAAGTCCCTAACCTACAAGGGAAGACAGATCAGGTTTGCAGCACACCTATCCACAGAAACTTGGCAGGCCAGAAAGGAGTGGCAGGATATATTCAGTGTGCTGAATCATAAAAATATGCAGCCAAGAGTTCTTTATCCAGCAAGGCTGTCATTCAAAATAGGAAGAGAGATGAACAGTTTCCCAGACAAACAAAAACGAAAGGAGTTTGTGACCACTAAACCAGCCCTGCAAGAAATTTTAAGGGGGACTCTCTGAGGGGAGAAAAGATGAAAACACATGCGTGTGCACACACACACAACACACAAATAAAAAAAAAAAAAAAA